TCTGAAGCATCTCTGGGTGGACATGAACTACCAACACATTAACTATCTATACCCCTTAAAACCTGGTGGCGCTCTAGGATAAACATTGGACAGTTAACTGCAAGGTCAGCAGTTTAAACCCATCAGCAGCTACATGGGTGGAAGGTAAAGCTTTCTGCTCCTGTAAAGATTCACAGCCTCAGAAACCCTATGTAGAGTTTGAATCAACTCGTGTCAGTGGCTTTGGATTTTGAGACCCCTTCAAACTTCTTACTGGATATGTTTCGCGACGGTAAGTAAATTGATTAAAGTGTATTGAGTCCAACATAGACAAAAATTAGGAGAAAAAATCTCATGAACTAGCTGAAATCAGGCAATTAAAAATACAATGGAAAAAGAATGGTAAGTAAACATTTCTTACAGCCAATGGAATAGAAACTAATATTAGTACTTCATGTGATTTATTTGAAATGTTCCTTGTTTGAGAGTACCACCCAATTGCTGCAAAGTCATTAAAAAAACATTTTCTATGTAGATGAGCTGCTATAAACTAGACCTTTATCAGTAATGGAGTGACACTGTCAGTCAGTCACAAATATCTGAAGAACAACCCTGGGAAGTTGTGGCCAAGAGGTGAACAAAATTACAGGATATTGTATTAATACTTAGGATTGTGTGATCCTAAGAGAAAGGATATGAAAAGAATTAAGACACATAATTAGCCAATTTTGTTAATGAAACCAATCATCCATTATTCATACCCCCTAAAAAGTGACTAAGCTTGTAAGAAAAAAAAATTACAAACTTAAAAGTTTAAAGACTACGCTTTTTAATTCTATAACATTAATAAACTGATTCTAAACATAGAAACAAAACAAAACAAAACTTTCTGATTAGCCTTTTCTGTCCACAAAAAAGAAAAACATCTTCAAGGTGATTCTTTTTTTTCCCTTAATTTTTAAAAGTCAGTAAAAACAGAAGGAAGAAGTATTAAGACTTTAACTACTACATATTCTGAAAGTAAGACATACTCCCTATTTGGAGCATTCAGCTTTTGATCACTTGTATATGAAATAAAAATCATCTGACAGGGTCATCAAGTAGTCAGTCAACTGCAAGGTTTGGACATTAAGCCTCATATTTACGATACAAACAAATCTGCGGACACTGGATTGTTCTTTTGTTAACTGTGGAGGCCCACTTGAGCAATTGAGAGTTCCATTTCTGAGGACACTTAATGTTTAACAATAAGTAAACAAGCTTGGATTCCCTGAAACACCACCCATGCACAGCTGGACCATCGGTGATTTTGAGTAAAAACACAAGCTATCATATTTGGTCATATGCCTCAAAAGCTGTTACAAACACAAAATGTTCGTTTAATTCTAAGTTCATCTGTTTACTTAAGTTCGTTTCTTATAAGAAACAGAGAGCTCCTGACTTCACCAGCTTAATACCTGGTGAATTTTTATTTGTGTTACATGTAATAATAAATGAAACCATAAGCAAGATGGGTACCATGCCAATATTACTTAACCACTAGAGTAGCTGATCAGACCATATATACGCTAGGTGGAATGAGAAGTCATCATTTTCTACATCCTTATTTAGATTTTAAGCCCTGAAAACTACCAACTATAATTGTAAAGGTACACAGGAACTAATATCCTCATAATCACCAAATTCTTAAGTTTTAACTCAAGTGGATTAACAATTAAGGACAGGAGAAAAACCAAGGTTCAATGAAACTGTCAAAAGAATATTATCCTGAGAAGCATATCTGTAGTTAACATTCAGCTTCAAAATAAAACGGCAACAGTTAAAAAGTGGTCTCAGAATACAAGTGCTACTGCTCTGGCATTATGATGTCAAATCTCACAGAATGCTCTTCAAGGATAGCCCTCCATCACCCTGAATCTTTAACACAACAAAATTTGTGTTCTGCTGTATTTGTTGTTGCTAAGTGCCGTCAAGTCAGTTCCCACTCATACCCTGCATAGGGTATAGGGTTTCTGAGGATTTGAACCACTGACCTTGTGGTTAGCAGTCCAGTGCCACACCAGGACTCCATTATTTTATGTGAGAGGTATTAATTCCCTATGAACTAAGCTTTGGGCTCCCCAAAGGTAAGGTGTTCCTTCTCTGGCCTTCACACCCCAAACTCATCATTTAAAACCATGTTGCCCAAGGTTTTTGCTCGTTATTTACCACAACCTAGCTCAATTTCCTACAAATAACCAGCAATATTAAATCCAAGGCACATTAACACGTTACAAAAAGGACTATATTTTAAATGCTAAATCCTAATATTTCTCTTTATTAATATGTTGTTGTTGTTGTTAAGTGCCATCGAGTCGGTTTCGACCCATAGTGACCCTGTACAGGGTTTCCGAGGGTGTAAATCTTTACGGGAGTAGAAAGCCTGATCTTTCTCCCGCGGAGCAGCTGGTAGTTTCGAACCGCTGACCTTAAGGTTTGCAGCCCGATTCGTAACCACTACGCTACCAGAGCTCCTTATTTATTAATATAGTTGGCTAGAAATAGTGGTGACTTTAAAACGTGTCCTTATAAGCATCTCATAATTTATAAGGACATGTTTATTTTAAAAGAAACCAATCTCTCTGACAGCCCAGTGTCAACTGAGTACCAATCTGCCAAATAACTTTTTAGAAAAGACGGTGAGGGACAATAATATTTAGCCTCAGTTGAAGACACAAGTGCCTGGACCCCTGACACCCAAGCCCCAGCCAGTCAGTCCCATATGTGAGGTAGAACAGTGTAATATTCCTACTGTGGAAAAGCACTACCCACGAGAGTGTGTGAGGCACAGAGAATCTTTATTGCAACAGGAAGCAAGAGCACTCGTCCCACCTCATCAACAGCTTTAATAGTCACAAAACGTAAACGTCACACAATCAACTATAACACAGACGTGGGGAGAAATGGTCCCTTGGACTATATTGGCTGTAATACTGAGGTAACCAATTGACCTTGTTCAGTGAAAACACCTCTAACACAATGAAAAATCAACTAGTTATAACATCCAATTCATATATACAATTCAAATAAAAATATATATTATTTGCTTTAATGTATAGCAAGTTTAATACATTAGTGTTTACAAAATAAAACCTGTATTCTACTGAATTTTTTCTTGTGCTTCCTTCTTATCACTAACTTGAAAGACCAGACAAATATGGTACTTAAGGAAACTTATTTATGGACTTACAGATGCAGTTTATGGGGTCACAAAAGACTGATAAATATTAGCTGGAAGATTACTGCATCTTTAAAAGTTGTCACTTATTAAAATCTACAAATGAACTTTAAGACACATTAAAAAAAATCCACAAAATTTCTCAAAATAGATTAGAATACAGGAAACGTTTCATGAAACTACTGAGATACTAACCAGTGCTATGGCTAATATTAAAAACGGAACATTCTACTTAAATCATACTCATACTATTCTACACACAGTGAACTATACAACCACAATAATCACCCTCAAGCTAGCAACAAAGTTGCAAGGTCCATAAAAAGTTTCTTCAGTGGGAACCGATATGATACAATGAAAACAGGAAGGGAAAAAGCCTTTTAATAGTATAAAAGTTGTTTACTGGTGCTTCTACCGGTAAAGTTACTCTACAAACCAAAATGAAAAAGCAATTACATACATGACAGTGATCAGAGACTACAGTGCAGACATTTCATCAACATCCAGCTGACAACCTTCAGAACAGCAGATTACAACTGGTAATGTTTTATCGAGCTATGATCTAGAGCTGAACTAAATTTTTAAAAGCACATATTTGATACACTCTTCTCAGCAATCCCTAGGTTTGGAGGAAATCTGTAGCAAGTAGGTAGGTAGTGCTAGCAAATATTTTCTCTTCTTAAACCAACAAAAAAATGGCAGAAGTCATTATTTATAGTTTTACTATTATGGATTCCAATGTGAAATTCTCATTTATTAAGTAGGCAAGTACATTATTAACATTTAAGCACACCCTACCCCCAAATATATGCACATAGCCCATTAATTAAATAGCGGGAATTAAAAAACAAATGTTGTTGTTAAGTGCGGTCAGTTCTGACCCTTAGCGACTCTGTATAGGGTTTCTGAGAAGTGACTGGTGAGCTTGAACTGCCAAGCTTGTGGTTCAAACCAACTTTGCAGTATAGTGCATTAACCCACAGAGTCACACCAGGACTCAAACAAAAAAAAATTAAACTTTCTCATTAAAATGACTTTTAAGAAAAAAACTGAACTCATAAATCTGAAAAGTATACAAAACTGAAATTGTAAAATAAATAACAAATATAGGTGTCAACTAAACATCCACAGAAATATGCCTGCAGAAGTGGACCGTGATTGCTCACACAATGGTTTGGATGCAAAGATATCCCCAGTGAGAGTCATCTAGGCTCCGCATGACTCCTGTAAATGGAGACGGATTCCAGACACCTGACGAGACTCACTCTTCGTTAAAAATCACCTCCCCTTATCAAACGAGGGTTAACTTACTTACATCTTAATCTATTTAACACATTCTGAAACTCAATATTTGAGTAAAGGCTTTTACACATCAGTACACTTGTTTCTACTTCTCTGTCCAAGTAACAGTTTCTCATTTTGTTTTATCTCAAGTAGCTATCATACAACACAATCTGGGGCAACTAAGTAGAGATCTTTTCTACTCTATTCCTAATTCTTTTAACTTTCCTCTGGAATTTATTAATTGTGTAACTATGCATTGATTGTTGTTGTTGTTATGTGCCGTGGAGTCGGTTCCAACTCTTGGCGACCCTGTACAGGGTTTCCGAGGCTGTAAATCTTTACGAGAGCAGAAAGCCTCATCTTTCTCCTGCAGAACAGCTGGTAGTTTCGAACTGCTAATCCTGAGGTTAGCAGCCCGCTTCGTAACCACTATGCTACCAGAGCACCTTATACATTGATTAAATCAGCAAAAATGCCATTATATGAATGCTAGCTACGTAGCTTCTGTTAAACAGCACTGGTTTTATCAGATAGTAAATCCCTACAAGTTTCCTTGGCTATCTTGAGTATTTGCCTTCGACTCCAGTCACTGCAACCCTGACAATAACATCACTTAAACTGTCTTTTTTATGACTGTAAAGATTCTACACTATGACTTACTCTCATATTCACACTAAATACACTGAGACAACAAAATTTCAAGTAAAATAAACTGCATCCATATATATTGGACCAAGCAGGTCTCAACATCTAGATTTCACTTTTATAAATTACACAAATACATTGTACATTCTTAAATAATGAATGCTTACAATATTAATTTGTAAGCCATACACAGGAGGACTTACACAGGAATGTGAAAGGATCAATTATTTCTGTTACAAATTGCAACACTCTCCATTTTCTCTTTTGTGGCTGTTGTTCAGTCTTGCTGGTTTCCACAGACCACTGTACCAGTCCTTAGGCTTTGGCTATGAAATCTGTTTGAGCTGAATGAGGCAACATTGGTTATTAAGGCTTATTTCTATGATGGAGCATGATCCTTACATCTGGTGCCATTTCCACAGCTATCTTGAATCTTCAGGCTCTGTTTTGATGACCTTCTTTTCTAAGGTAAAAGCTGAGTGAGGGTAGTCTTTTAAAATCCCTAGGTTGTCTGCATAAAATGGAAACATAATGTGCATTACTATTCTGAATAAAGATGACAGAGCACAAATACATTTAATACAAATGCAAGCTCCACAACAAATATTATCAACTTCTCGTGATTCTGCAATGTTATATATCTAGAGTTTTGGTTAAAAGCTTAGATTTTGGGTTTAAATTACTAGGTATACAAAGTGGATTCAAAAAGTTTGTGGAAGAATGGAATGAAAAGATAATGAACCATAACTTTCAAAGTCCCCCTCGCATAAATCTCTGAACAAGTTAAATATCCTTGTAAATCTCAGCACCTTCATTTATAAATAGAGACAGTTATTTACGTGAGGTGATGTGATGAAAACGAAGTTGAAACTATGAAACTATTAGTAAACAGAACATGCCAGCTTTTATTTAATGGTTCATCCAACATTATAAATACATAAATTACAACAAAGCTACTGATTAAAATATTTACTCTCAATGAAAAAATGAGACAGAAAAGCATCTTTCTAATTTTGGAACTATTTGTTTTTTTAACTTTCTGTAGTCAAGAAATAGGGTAACAGAAGATTCTACGTTGTTAAGAAATCATTCCATGGAGTTAAGTGTGTATAGTTAATTTCAACTTCACAGATAAAAACGTAATCTTTAGGTAAAGTTTGAAATGGGACACACAAACACCTTGAAATGATTCTAGAAAAATAAGCCATACAAATAGCTTATCTGAAATTTAGATAGAAAAAATATAGGACCCTGTAGGGTAGAGTAGAAGTGCCTCTTAAGGCCGTAATCTTTATGGACGCAGAATGCTGCACCTTTATCCCATGGAGCGGCTGGTAGGTTTAATTGCCAGCCTTTGAGTTAGCAGCTGGATGATTAACCGCTGTGTAACTAGGGTTCCTTATCTGAAATCAGGTGGCTCAACTTACAGATTCATCCTCTGTACACAGAAGAATATTTAAAATTCTACATAAAGAGAGTAATGAGTGTCAGTTACCACTTAGGAAACTCCTACCTGCCATGCAACTCAGACACACAATTTTACGTAATACTCAAACCCTACATGTTAGTTGTGACTATTTCTATTTCACAGAGGACGCAATTGAGGGTCTGGGTAAATAATTCAGTTAGGATAACTTAATTAAGTATTTGAACTGAGATCTAAACCCACATCTGTGCTCTATTGGGTCTGGAAAATTTATACTCAATTTAAAGAAAAGAAAAAAAAACTTTTCAGGCATTCCTTTCACTGTGTTACATATAAACTCCATCTCAACTACATTTCTATGTACATATAAAACATGTACCTATGGTGGAACACATATGAACAACGTAATTGGTGCATGTGTTTTATATAGAAAATCTTCAAAGGCATATAAAGTGGAAGAAAATATTTTATGTGTGTGTATTTTTTTGGGAAGAGCACTTTAAAGTGACAGCTCACATTTTCATTCATGTTGTGGAAAATATGAGATCAGGATGCAATCCTTAGAACAATTTTAGTTTCTCAACATCTTTCTGACATTCTTAAAATGCCTAAAATCAAGAAAAGTAGTATCATGCTAAAGGTCACAACACAGTATACAGGTATGCATCATTTAACACCTACAATACGGTCTATGAAATAGAATATGGTATGATTTAAATGGGAATCCTGGTGTGGCACTGTGGGTTAATGTACTGGACTGCAAAGTCACTTTGAAAAGCAAGGTTGGCGGTTCAAGCTCACTAGCGACTCCTCAGAAGCCCTATACAGGGTTGCTATGGGTTAGAACCAACTCGATGGCACTTAACATGATTTTGATGCTGTACAAACACCGTATTATGTTCTGACCAGTAAACCAGTCTTCTTTTTTTTTTTTTTAAATAATGATGAGGTTTGTTCCACATTTTCTCCCACTCTATCCAGGACTCTCTAATGCAGGGGAGGGGAATATCCAGTCTGCGGGCCACATAAGGCCTGCAGAATCATTTGGACTGGGCTTTCTAAGACAATCACAGTTCCAACCACCACGTTGTTGTTGTGAAATGCTGTTCAGTAGGTTCTATTAGGGGTGAGTTCATTAAATGTTTGACCAAATATAGCTGACTAAGTGTAAGTTGATAAATGTGTACGGCCCACAAATGATGCCATCACTTTTGGCAGGAAAAAAGGTCCCCCTGCCACTGCTCTAGTGTGATCCTTTTCAAAGCAGCTGTTAGTGGTAACCAGGCACTATCTAGTACTTCTGTGTCAAAGTCATGGAGGCTAATGTTCACATGTCCCATTAGTCCACTGGACTAATGGATTCCAAGCCTCTTCAGTTCTCATCACTCCTTCCTTCTGTACACGGAGAGACCAACAGCTGTCACTGGGGCTGTCACTCATGAACTTTTAAGATCCCAGATGCCACTCACCAAAGTAGGATGTAGAACATTGTCTTTGTGGACTGTTGTTGCTGGTAAGTGCTGAGGAGTCAGCTCCGACTCAGAGCAACCCGGTATAGGATTTCCAAGGAGCAGCTGGTAGATTTGAACCACCAGCCTTATGTTTAGAGTCCAGTGCTTATTCTACAGCACCACACTAGCAGTATGCTATTCCAATTGACCATGGTGTCCCCTGAGACTATATGTTCCTGAGCCTTAAGATGTTTGATAATATCTAAGAAGTTTTTATCATTTTGCCCACTGTATGAGCCACCACATTCATAGCTGTGTTTGCAGGAAGTTTCATTTAGTTGAGATATGAAATATCAACCATTAAATGCATCTACATGAAAATTTTAGATTTTGGTGCACAAGATTTACTTAGCATAATCCATTTCACACATGAAAGTCCAGAAAAGGCAATAACATAACTCAAACCATCCATTTATTATTCATTAAAAGATTTTGTATAAAAGTCACCATACATGTAATTGTCATTGTTGTTCAGTGCCATCAAGTTGTTCCAACTCACAGTGATCTTGTAGAGGATTCTGAGGAGCAGCTGGTGGGTTTGAACTGCCTACCTTGTGATTAGCAGTTCAGTGCTTCATCTACAGTCCCAAACAAGGACTCCATGTATGTAACTGTTATATAAAATAATCTTAACACTCATGTGTGCTTTTTCTGTCATTCTTTGGCATATAGGGAGCCTCAAAGCACGAATTTGTAAGCTGGCTAGAACAGGTCCATAAAGTTCTTAATTGGTGATGGTGGTACTGTGCTGTATAGTCGATTCCGACTCACAGCAATCCTGTATAGGGTTTCCAAGGCTGTAAATCTTTACAGGAGCAGAAAGCCTTATCTTTCTCCCATGGAACGGCTGGTAGTTTTGAACTGCTAACCTTGAGGTTAGCAGCCTGACTCGTAACCACTATGCTACCAGAACTCCTTAGGTTGTTGTTGTTATTAAGTGCCGTCAAGATGATCCCAACCCGTAGTGACCCTGTATAGGGTTTCCGAAGCTGGTGAGCTTGAACCACCAACCGTGCAGTTCAAACGGCTTTGCAGTCTGGCGCATTAACCCACAGCGCCACACTATGTTAGCCTTACTTTATTGCCAGAAAAGGCTTCAAGGCATTCTAATGATTAAAGGTGCACTTGTAAGTGAAGGTGACTGTCATGAAGAATGTGTTGCGAGTAGGAACTGGTTCAATCATTTCAAAGTGAGGCAAGAAGTTGTTTACCAGTCACATATTGGTCACCAGGGACTTCCAGTACTAGGTTCCCAAACTGACTGGCTATTATGGTAATCTACCATTCCCAGGGAGAGAAAAGCTGACAAATAACACTGCTAATAACGACCTCTGAGGGATAGGAGGAGAACAGAATTTAAAGATGCTTTATTCAAACGTTCCTCTAGCCAATCATATACCACACATCCTCACCTGATGAGTGGGACTTGGCGTCACTGGAATAAAGTCTCGTAAGCTCCCCATCCACCACAAAATGATGGGGTTGTCTGTTCTGTATATTAGGCATTCGGAGATTCAAAGGTCTTTCTCCTAAGGAAAAGAAATATGAAAAATATTTAAAACATACCATGTTCTTTCTTAAAGTAAGTTTTCACAGATTCCTTGAATTTAGGAAGAATGGAATGGAAAAAATCAACAGGGACTAAAGAATTTAAATAAAATACAAAAAAAGTTTTAAATAATTTAGGAGGAAAATAGCAAATAATTTCATGCTAGTCTTAAGGTTTACAATTCTGTCAAAACAAACATGGACTAAACAAAAGGCTGAGATTTACAGTGAGTTTTCCAACACTGGCACATAATATATCCCCACTTTTAAGACATTCTCTTACTAGCTCAACCATTCAACCAAGGTATGTCATTAACCACATCTAACAAATATTAGAGACAAAGATGGCTTTAAGCCAAATGCAGAGTTAAAAACAAAATCGACAAAAAATTAAAACTATGTCAAATCCATGAAAAAAGAGTTAGCAAAGATATGTTAAAAAGTATTTCTATACCAAATAATAGGCTCGGGCATCCATCATACTTAGCAAACTCTCACCCAACACTACATTATCCTGGTGTCATAAACGAGTTATAAAATCTTTCATAAATACCTTTGCTCTTACCTATAAATATATGGCTGACTGGAGAATTAAAGACCTCAACTCAAAAGTTTCTGTAATATTTAAAAATACAGGTACTATTTTAAAGTAGAACTTTCTTCTCCTTTCTCTGATCTGCTGACATATACAATATTTTACTACATAGTTTGAGAATGTTTAAGAGGGTGTTCTTATTTAGAAAAAAATCTTAGGTTTTAAACATTAGGAACCATTCTTCCTACAAAAATGTAATACAGTGGTGCTGTGGGTTAATGTGCTGGACGGCAAGGTCAGTTTGAACAAGGACAGTGGTTCAAGCTCACCAGCCACTCTTAGAAACTGTATACAGGATTGCTATGAATCAAAACTGACTCCATAGCACTTAACAACAACAAAAATTACTTTTTCCATCGATTAGCACTATTTTATATACTTTATGCTGTATGAGGCTAAGTCAAAAGCATTGCTACTAGGGCTCCTGTTCATACATGCTCATGGATTTATTTCAAACCAAATGTGCTTCAACATATCTCTGACCAGTGAATGGCTGCAGACAAGTTCTCTCTGGAGCACACTTCTTTTAGTCTTGTTGGTGGTTATGAGCCTTGGAGTCAGTTCCAAATGGGGTTTCCAAGTTGTGTTATCTTTATGGGAGCAGAAAGCCTCATATTTTGCCCACGGAATGGCTGGTAGTTTCGAACTACTGCCCTTGAGGACAGCAGCCCGACTCGTAACCACTACAATACCAGAGCTCCTTGTTAGGGTGCCATCAAACACAAAAAAACTTTTTGTGTCACAAGAGGAAAAAACTACTTTGAGATCAGGGCCAGTATCAAATTTTTAAGCAAAAGTCAAGTGGACATGTTCCCAAATCACTGTTGTTGTTGTTGTTAAGTACCGTGTTGTTGTTAAGTCGGCTCCGACTCATAGTGACCCTGCACAGGGTTTCCGAGGCTGTAAATCTTTACGGGAGCAGACTGCCTCATCTTTCTCCCATGGAAATGCTGGTAGTTTCTAACTGCTGACCTTGAGGTTGGCAGCCCGACTCATAACCACTACACTACCAGAGCTCCTTGGCTTTGTACAAAGTTTACAGGAAAGCTGTCCCCCATAAATCAAGAGAGGGAAGACAGTAAACCCTAAGAAACTGTGGCAAGAGTCTAGAAACTGGTGGGAAAAGACTGTAAAATTATTGCTGATGCAGTGGGATCTCACATGATTTGCTATACTCAATTTTAAGTTAACACTTTGGCCTCAGCAAGCTTTCAGCTCCATGGGTGCCAAAAGCATTGGGCAGAGATCAGCTATAGCTCAAAGAGCTGACCTTTGAATCAGTCTTTTAAAGTTAGTTAAGAGCTAATGATGATCATTTTATAAAATGATCCATAACTGGGGATGAGTATTGAATTTATCAATATGATCCAGAGAGCAAGGTCCGATCAAAACAGTGGCTTCAGCAACATCTTGTGTGTGGGTTCCCCAGCTGGTCTCCTTCCTCCCTGCCTTCTTCGGATGGTGTCTGTTTATGGTGGACGTGTGGCCAGAGACGGGCAAGGATCACGTGGAACCTCGGCAACCTAAGACAGAGCCATTGCCATGCTGCAATGAGTTTCGATGACGGGTAAGACTGAGGAATTCACACTGACCGCCTAAGACAGGCAGCGTCCCTTAAACAAATAATAAATAAGGGGGAAACTGATGCAGACCGTGCAGACCCGGTCAGGCGTTCAAGTCCCCGTGGGCCCAAGCGTTGCTGACCGTCCAAACCATAGGCTCTGAGGATCAGACTTTAGCCACCTAGCAGACATAGCAAAATGTCCCTTTTCTGATTATTCAGTTATGCTGGTTAGTAATTCCATACATGAGCCCTGGATACCCACAGATAAATGTAAAAACCTTCCCTAAAAGCCGAGACTGTAAATTCCAAAAAGGCAAAGTTTCCCCCCCCAAAAAAGCTAAAGAGGATATAGAGAAACTCTGTTAACTGATGGTATGTGGAGGGGATTATAATCAATGTAATGAAACAAGGTATATGAATGTTTGAATGTGAAACCGATGATGTGCCCTGAAAACTCACTCAATCCACAATAAAAACCTTAAAAAAAAACAAACAGTGGCTTCAGAGGGGATATGCTGGGCCAGTTAAATTCAAGGTCAAGAAGTCAGCTTATGGCATTGTTTTTTTAATGTCCCAAGATGGTAATCATTGTTGTCTCAAGTCTGTTTTGACTAACACAGACACTGCCTAGGGTTTCCGAGGAGCAGCTGGTGGGTTTGAAGGGCTGACCTGGTGGTGCGCAGTCCAGTGCTGGTCCAATAGTCTCACAACAAGGTGTAATCATTAGGTAAACATTTTTCAGAATTTGAAAACCACACTGGCAAGAAAATAGCCACTTCCATACTAACAATTCACCTGCTCATTTCTGAGGGTAGCAAGAGCTGTCCTATGAGAATTTTGTTGAGAAAACTTACTCCATCCATCCTGCAACGCTGATCTTGACCCCTCCCTTTCATCAGTTTATATTCCCCAAACTCGAAGAACTTTTAAAAGGAACATGATCTGAGTCCCTCGAGAATGCTTAAACTACTGTTCTGCTTCGGTGTAAATCGAAGAGTACAAAATTATTTGGAGAAGAGTTAAGAGAGATAAAAACACAGTCTGCAAAAGTGCATAGACCTAGATGTAGGCTATGTCAAGAAATAACAGTTTCACATTTTGATATTTTTGTTTAATAAAGGATTCTAGGATATTGTGTGAGATCTAGTGTGGCGCTGTGGATTAATGTGCTGGATTGCAAAGTCGTTTGAACCACAACACTGGCAGTTCAAGCTCACCAGTCACTCCTCGGAAACCCTATGTAGGGTCGTTATGGGTTGAAACTGATTCGGCGGCACTTAACAAGCTATTGTAGCAATATTTTTGGACTTACTCTCATTTCATGGCACTTCAAAAAGTTCACGGGAGAACTGTGTTAAATGATCATGAACTGTTTGATTTTTTTTTTTAGAAGGCCACACATCTCCCTCCATTATTATGTGGAAACTCAAAGAGAACAGGGAATTTGACTTGCTTACTGCTATACCTTTAGTGCCGAAAACTGTGCCTGAAACGCAAAATATATAGACAGTTCCCAAGTGATATTATTTCTGTTACTGTGTCTGTAAGTGTTATTTATTACTGGTTCAGAGAGAGTACACAAAGTTCTTATTCAGCCTTACTTGAGCGCAAGGAGGAGCCCTGGTGGCGATGTAGGATAAGCACTGGACTGCTAACTGCAAGGTTGGCAGTTCAAATCACCTGTAAGTCCATGGGATAAAAATGAGACTTTCTGCTCCTATTAAGACATGTAGCCTCGGAAACCCTGTACAGAGTTGCTATGAGTCAGAATACATTCAATGGCAGTGGACTTTAGGGCAAGAAAGACTCAAACTTTTTCAGTGATTTAAAAGCTGCATGTGTATCAAGTGAAAGTGTTTGTGATGAAGAATTTGTTGCTACTAGGGATTGGTTCAATCATTTCAAAGATGAATATTTCAATCATATTCAAATTTACAATAACATTAAAGGGCAAATCCTGGTGTGGTACTGTCAAAGAAGCACTAGACTACTATCCGCAAAGTCAACAGATCAAATGCACCAGCCGCTCTTCGAAAACCCTATGCAGGGTCACTATGAATCGGGACTGACTCAATGGCACTTTGCAACAATAACAATTAAGGGAAAGTAACTGTCCGTAAGTCAGATAGGCATTAGTAAAGCAGAAACTGCCTGAATGCAAAAATTTAACAGTTGTATGAGTGAATGAATGATAGTGACTTGAGATTTTCTTCATGTGAGAATATGAAAAAAACACAAAAATTTAAAATGTCTAAAAGTACTCATGAATCACATAGCTTTCTAAACTTAACAGTTTAAAGGAATAATTTCCAAAGTATACCACACAAAATATTTTATAGGGATTGTAGGACAACATAAAGCATGCATGAAAAAAGTCAAAATCACTTTGAGTCTTTCTAGATTTATGTCTTCAAATCGCTATAGTCTGTCATAATACTTTAGAAGCATTTTATTCTCTTAAGAAACCAAATATTATAAACTTTTGACAAATCTGTTTTTGAAAGTCTAAGAAAGGTAAGTTTTAGGGTTTTTTTGTTTGTTTTTAACAATACACATTTCTCATGGAATCAGTTTCTTTAGGGGAAAATGATTCTGTACTATTTGTATCTCCCATTCCCACTCACCCTTTAACATACGAGGGGGGCTTCAAAAGGTTCATGGATTAATTCCGTTATCTTTTAATTCCATTTTCCCATGAAATTTTGAAGCCTCCTCATAGATGTTAATTCTATTTGTAAGCTATTATTTGGGAATAGTAAGGTGAAATATTCACAACTGAAATTTTTTAGGATGAATTCTTTCCTTTACACACAATTTAATATAATTTTAAGAGAATATAATACAGTCTCTACAAAATTTAAAAATTAGGAATTTTTTATTTCCTCTTTGAAACACACATAGTAGGAGGTTTTGAAGGTGCAGGTCCTTCTATAAAGATGTACCTTGTCCATCAGAGTTATCAGATGTCAAGCCATTAGGGCTGTGCTCTTCCGAGCTCTGCCTGTAAAATCCTGCAGATAGTCTTCGTTCTGCATGCTGCAGTCTCTCATAGCCAGCTTGAGTGCAAAGGAACTCCATCTGCTTTGCCACCACCTTTTCAGGCTGCTAGTAATAAGTAAAGCAAAAATAAAATCAGTAACTAAAACATTTTAGATTCTTTAATGGCTTAAACATGCCAATTTCAGACTCCAGCAAATATATTTGGTATTCATTAAAACTAGTTCACACTTCATGTGGTATACACCTTCTATAAATATACATAGATGTCTGTATCATGTTTAAACATAAAATGCTAGATTTTGTACAAATGGCAAAAAACACACCAAAAAACCCTTTCTTATTTCAAAGATAATTTTATTTCAATGCAAAAGCAAAATAACCCTAGCTTTGTTTTCCAAGGTATTGAGTCCTTTGAAAGTTAAAAAAAAAGACACCTAAAAGCAACAGTAACATCTGCTATAAACTGCTTCTAACACATAGGGTGAAATCTTGGCATTTTTATTTTAGGATTTGGCACTACACAGGCTCTGATAGGATGGCAGTATGTTTGGGGGGAAAAAGGTGTAAAACGGCTGTCTAGAAGAACAAGACAAAAACACCTCCCACTAAAACAATGCAAATTATTCAGAAAAACATCAGTGACAAAGAGGATCTTCACCTTCATCATGAAATGCAACTGCAGTATTTCCCAACCAATCAGGAAAATACATGTTTTAAAATACACAGTCAGTTGTGTATCAATTTGCCTCTGCATGTGTTTTAAGTTCCATTTTGATGTACTGCTCTAAATTACTTATATGTGATACAAAGCAGTGTATTTGTGATGTTTTGCCAAGATGGTAGTAGTCAAAATGCACAGATAAGAATTACTACCACAGAATCCCCACTGTAAAGTTTTCATCTTGTCTAGACAGGTCTGGTAAAAAGAGGGAGAAATAAGATTCTTATGATTCAATAGTAACTGTTATCATGACTATTTGCCACTGTCATAACTGTAAAGGTAGAAGTTTTGTAGCAAAAACAGGGGAGCAGTTTATATTACAGTCCAGAAACAGAGGGCTCTAAGATCACTAAAAAAGAAGAGCACAAGCAGAATGTGGGATCCTATCCAGAGAAGCAGTGACACCAGAGATGAGGATTTTGGGAGACGGAGCAGCTGAGGACTCTAGACTCATGAAAAGAGAGGGACTGAGAGCTGGCAGCCAGGAGGCAGGCAGGCTGGTAGAATGTGCCTTTTGGTTATTTAAATGATTATATATTCCTGAGCATTTTTGTGTACATCCCACTCCCCCAAAAAACCAGAGGGAATGGAAACAAATACTGTTGAATGATGATGCACGGAGGAGATTGTAATCACTGCAATGAAACAATGGTGTAAAGCCGATGTTCTCCCATCACTTAGTTCACATTAAAAATTAAAATTACTACCATACTATACAAAATAGTAGTTTAAATAAGGAAGTTGCTCTACAAAATCAGTTACCCAAAGACCTGAATCACAATGTAAAATCACAACATGCTCTTTAAATTGATGTCATTCACCTATTGATTAATAAAGAGTATGTATAATAATTACTAATACTATTTTTCTGAGTAATACACATCAGATCTAAAATACTCATAACCTCATTTCACTTGAGCATGTTACTAATGGAACTGATAAAATTTCACTAAGCATCTCAAAGGGGAAAATATCGTTTCATCTTCTAAACATGAAAAAACAAAGTGTGGCAGTACTCAATTTGACTACATGCAAGTCACTAGAAAGACACAGGATTAAAACCTACACTGCTTCCTAAAAGGTGATGTTTGCAGAAAGTACTTTTCAGTGGAAACAACGAAACAATGTGTTGGCACAAGTACCTGAAGTTACCTATTATTTCTTACACATATGAATTTCATTATTTAGCAACAATACAATGTTGACTATTACTGTTGTGTTCACGTTGCTGCTAAGTGATGTCAAGTAGGTTCCAACTCATAGCAATCCTATATAGCATTTCCAAGGAGCGGCTGGTGAGTTTGAACTGACGTTGTAGCTTAACCTGCGCTCTCCTTCAGCGCTACACCAGGATTCCATTACTATTTTACTGAGGAACAATACTGTTTATCTTAACATTGTATTACATACAACCACAGTCAACATCACTGTTTTCCTTATCTAGATTTCCTTCTGTGGGGTTTTCTTACATAGAGACTGGATCTTATTTCCTACAAAACTACAAAGAACAAGTAAGTAGCACTCTATCAGATCTGTTCACAAACCAAATCAAACCAAGTTGTTACTGCTGTCTTGACATAGCTGTGGATCTGATGACATTTGAAAAACCAAAAATTAAAATTAAGTCCTCAGATACTTAAAACTGAAGCTAGTTGAAGCAGCCTTTTATTTTCTAACTTATAACTGTTAATAAGGAGCTCTGGTAGCACAGTGGTTACGAATCGGGCTGCGAACCACAAGGTCAACAGTTCAAAACTACCAGCTGTTCCACAGGTGAAGGTTTCTGCTCCCGTAAAGATTTACACCCTTGAAAACCCTGTACAGGGTCGCTTATCAGTCAGAACTGACTCCACGGCACACGGCCACCATAGCTGTTAATAAAGCAGCTCTGGTAGCACAGTGGTTACGAGTCAGGCTGCTAACCTCAAGGTCAGCAGTACAAAATTACCAGTGGTTCCATGGGAGAAAGGTGAGGCTTTCTGCTCCCATAAAGATTTACAGCCTCGGAAACCCTATGCAGAGTTGCCATGAGTCAGTACCGATTTCATGACACACCACCACCAGCACCAGTTGTTAATAAGAAATACACACAGAGGGAAAAAAAATACCAAAACGAATGGTTCATGTCACCTGTGAACTAAGAGCTGCAAGTTCTTCACTCTTAGCTTTCGCCTGCTGGAAGAGTGTCTGCACAGAATCCTGGAAATCTGGAAAACCATCCTACGGGTCAAAGAATAAGTCGTTTTTATGTAGAAATTTTAAATAAAAGCCATCATCATATTACCTAAAACTCAGAAAATAATGAAAACTACCATAATCCCACTATTCTAATCATCACATTATTTTAATTTATATTTCACTTTAGTCATTTATGGTATAAGTTATCTTATTTTCTACAGTTGTAACCTCAATAAAAACATACATGAAAAAGCAGAATAAAAAATTTAATTATGCATGTTGTTTTACACTGGTACACATGATCATTGATAACAATGACTAAATAACACTTCATCTAGCGGTTAATATAATTTAACCACGATCCTCACATTTGGAGTTTTGGTATGGTGCAATAGGATAAGCAATGGACTGCTAATCACAAGGTTGGTGGTTCAAACACACTAGCCTCTCCTCAGAAACCTATACAGGGTGGCTATAAGTTGAAAGTGACTCGACAGTACTTAACAACAACAACAATCCTTACATTGGATATTTAGATTCCTTTCCAATATTTGGTTGTGAAAAACACTGCAAAAGATTTTCAAGTAGGTATCATTTTCCATAGTACGGATTATTTAGCAGAATAGAGATTTCCTTAAGCAGAATACTACAAAGAAATAAACACTTTAATGCCTCTTGCTATGCAATGGAAAGGGTTTACTGGTTTATCAAACAATAAGTAATGTATGACAGACAGCTCCCTTGCCAGAGCTAGGTATTGTTATTTTCATAACTGTTCCCACTTTATCTATACTTTTATTGTTTTGATAGTCAAAAACCTTTAAATTTTACATATTGCTACTAGCTGCTATCACATTGGCTTCAACTCATGGCAACCTTGATGTACAACAAAACAAAGTTGTCCAGTCCTGCATCACCTACATGACCATTGATATGGCTCAAGTCCACTGTGGTGGTGGCTCCATATGGTAAGCACTGGGCTGTGACCCACACTTCAGAGCTTTGTGCCCACCGGCCACTCCGTGGGAAAAAGAGGAAGCTTTCTGCTCTCATGAAGATCTGAAGCCTCAGAAACCCTACACAGAATCATCCCGAGTCAGAACAGACTCGATGGCGCTAACAATAATTTGTTACCACTGCATTCTAGAGTGCCTTCCAACCTAGGAGGCTCATCTTCCAGTCCTACACCAGGCAATATTCTTTTGCTTTCTACTGGGTTTTCAATGGCTAATTTTCTAAAGAAGATCACCAAGCCTTTCTTTCTTAGTCTGGCTTGGTCTAGAAGCTCCGCTGAAACCTGTCCATCATGGGTGACTCTGCTGGTATGTGGAATACTGGTGGCATAGCTTACAGTATCATAGCAACATGCAAGTCACCACAGTATAAGAAACTCACCAACGGACAGTGGACATTTTATAATATAATCCTGGTGTGGTCCTGTAGGATAAGCACTGGACTACAAGGGTCGGTGGTTCACACTCCATAGCTGTTCCTCGGAAACCCTATATGCTGGGTTGCTATGAGTCAGAACTGACTTATAACACTTAACAACAATAGTAATATATGAGAGTTTGGTGGCTCTGCAGGATAAACACCAGACTAAACCACAAGCTCCACAATTAGAAGCCCACCAGCTGTTCCACCGGAGAAAGATGAAGCTTTCTGCTCCCACCAATATTTACTGCCTCAGAAACTCTATGCAGGTTAAGTGCTGACTCAAAGGCACTTACCAACAACAACGTAGTCATATATACTTATACTTTATTCTGTGATCTTTTTGAATTGTAATAAAGACATTCTCTGCTTTAGAGAGCTGATACATGTCTAGTCTAAAGGTTTAATTAAGCTCAAAAATCTATCCCCTAGTTTTTTCCAAAGTTTTTATTGTTTACTTTTGTTTCTTAAATTTCTCATCCATTTGGCATTTATTCTGATATATGTAATACAGTAAATAGCCAAACTAATTTTTCCTCAACATGCTATCCAATAATTCCAACTGGAATTTTTGGGAAAAATGTGTCCATGTTAACTAATGAACACTCCTTTATTGTACCCATGACAGGCAACAGAGGCTTTGGAATTAGAAAGATCTGTATTAATGCTCCAATTCCACCACTTACTAGTCATAATGACCATGGATGAAATCCAACTTTCTAAACTTTGGTCTCTTTATAAGAAAAATTAGGATCAGAATCTACTTATTAGGGTTGTTGTGAGGATCACATAAGAAAAGCAGTAAAGCTTTTAGCACATAACCCCCCAAAAAACCCACTGGCACTGTTATTGTTAAGTGCTATCGAGTGGATTCCAACTCATAACGGCCCTAAATAGGGTTTCCGAGGAGCAGCTGATAAATTTGAACCACCGACCTTTTGGTTCAAACTCTCCTTGCCATCCAGCACTTAACCCGCAGCGCCACACCAGGACTGGCAATGAGTCGATTCCCTATCATAGTGATCCTATAGGACACAATTCTCCACAGGGTTTCTCAGACTATAAATCTTTATGGGAGCATACAGATACATCTTTCTCCTGAGGTGCAGCTAATGGGTTTGGACCTTGTAATCTAGCACTCTAATGCTTCACCCACCACACGACCAGGGTTCTTTCTTTAACACATGTTGTTAAATGCTGTCAAGTCAGTTCTGGCTCATAGTGATCCTGTACAGGGTTTTCTGAGGAGCAGCTGGTGAGTTTGAACCACAGACCTTGCAGTTCAAACCAACCTTAAGGTTCAGTGCTCATCCTACAGCATCACACCCGGACTCCAGTGTCCTTTAGTGATAACTTATTTCACTCAGTATGATGTCTTCAAGCTCTATTCATATTATAGAATACATCACGACTTAATTTTTCCTACTGACTGAGTAGTGTTCTATTGTATGTATCATATTTTGTTTATCCATTCATCTAAAGCCATGAAATTCTCAGAAGAAAATGCAGGGACAACACTATCAGACATAGCTTTTAACAATAGATTATCAAACATATTATTAACAAAAGCACAAACAACTAAAGACAAAATAAATGAAACCTCATAAAAAAAATAGCTGTGCATCAAACAAGTTTACAAAAACAATGAAAAGACAAGCTAGGACTCAAAGAGTATCTTTGGAAAGCATACATCTGATAATCTAATAACGAAAATATATTTAAATTTCAACAACCTAGGAAAAAAGGACAAATCCAATCATAAAATGAGCAAAGGACTGGAACATAATTTCACCAAAGAGGATGTTCAAATGGTCAGTAAATGCATGAAAAGATGCTCAGTATCATGAATTAGTCATCAGAGATGCAAATTAAAACCACAAGGTGCCATTTCACTCCTGCTGGTCTAGTGCTGTGGGTTAATGTGCTGGACTGCAAAGTCGGTTTGAATCACAAGGTCAGTGGTTCAAACTCAACCAGATGCTCCTCAAAAACCCTATACAGGGTCGCTATGGGTGGGAATCGACTCGATGGCACTTCACAAAAAAACAAAAATGATGGCTAAGAAGTCCTGGTGTGAAGCTGTAGGATAAGCACTGGGTTGCCAACTGCAAGGCTGACGGTCCAAACCTGCCAGTCAGTCCTCAAAAGCTCTATACAGGTACACTAAGAGTTGGAACTGACTCAATAGCACCTAACAATCACAAAATGATGGCTAAGAGAGAGAAAAAAGAAAACCAAAGCTGGTAAAGATATTAGGATGTTATGGATAGGACACCATGGATTACAAGAAGAGTGGACTTCTGGTGTAGCGCTGTAGGATCAGCACTAAACTGCGAACCACAAGGTCAGCAGTTCAAATCCACCAGATGCTCCTCAAGACACCCTATATATATGTCATAATTGACTTGATGGCACTTAACAATAACAACACAAGCAGAATGAACAAATCTGTCTTGGAATGAAGTACGGCCAGAAAGCTCCATAGAAGCCAGGATGGTGAGACTTGGTCTCATGTACTTTGGGCATGTCTATCAAGAAGGACCAGTCTCTGGAGGACATCATGCTGGGTAAAGCAGTCAGTGAAAAAGATGGTGACTTTGAAAAAGACTGACTCAACGGCTGCAATAATGGGCTCAAACAGAACAACACTGTGAAGGGTGGTGCAGGACGGGACAGAGTTTTGTTCTTCTGTGCATACGGTTGCTGTAAGTCTAAACTGTCTCAACATCACATGACAACATTCTCTGCTGGTAAAAATTCAAAATGGCACAGTTAGAAGGGAAAACAATGTGGTGGCTCCTCAAATACTAAAAACAGAACTACCATATGAATCAGCAGTTCCACTCCTAGTTACATACCAAAAGACTTAAAAGCAGTGATGCAAAAAAGACTCTTGTACACCAATGTTCATCCCAGCACTACTCACAATAGTTAAAAGGTGGAAACGACCTACGTCCTGTATTTTTTACATATATTATCGCATGTAATTCCCACATCAGCTTTCCCTCCTTTACAGCTACAGACACTAACTTAAAGTCTATGCTCAATCCACAAAGCCTAGAGTTACCACCTTCATAAAATTCAAAACAATAGTATGAGCTAGTATGTTAACAAACTGCAGACATCTGAGAGAATACGAAGGGGCAGATAGGCACTGGACTGCTAACCACAAGGTCAGCAGATCAAACCCCACTTACCAGTCACTTTTGGAAACTATACAGTGTCGCTATGAGTTGGAACTAACTCAACAGCACGCAACAACAGACATTTAACACTGAAACTAGCAAGATTGTTGGAAAACTATTTTAGTGAAAAATAGGAATTTGAAAACATTTGCTTATCCATTCAACAAAGACGTATCGTTTGCAAAGTAGGTTCCATATGCTCTGCTCTATTCTGAGGAAACAATGCCAAACAAGGTAAGACACAGTTTCCGCCTTTTTAACAAATACAGTCTAGAAAGGGAAATGGACAAACAGACCCAGAAGCAGAAAGGCAGGCACTGAATCAGAGAAGGCTCCCAGAAGTGGTACATTCTGTAGCTGAGACTTGAGGGCCCAAAGTTCTCCAGGAAATAGGAACAGTTTGCATAAAGGCCCAAAGGCAAA